CCGCTTGCGCCCCCCCCCTGGCCCCCGCTGGCGTCCCACAGCAGCCACCCATGTCCTGCCTGTGTCCTGTCCGTGTCTCATCACTCAGCCCCAGGTCCCTGAGCTGCGGCTGTGCCAGGAAAGTCCCCTGCAGCACCCCCCCAGCCAATGGAGGGCCAAGAGGACCCTGGGGGGTCTGGCGGCAGGGACATGGGGGGTGCCACAGGGGGAAGCAAGAACCTGATTAACAGCAAAAAGGGTGACTTGGGAAAAGAGGTAAAAAGGCAGAAGGTTAGTCCTAAAGGACAAAGGATGCTGTATTTCATAAATGCTGCCTAAGTTAGACATGGCAAATGAAAGAGCAGCTAAAGCCACAAGGCGTGAGAGTGGGACCTGGGGGGAAACTGAGGCAGGGTGAGTTGATGCTGACAGGCCCTGGGGGGCTGCTGGTGCCAAGGCCAACAGAAGAGCACTAGGAAAGCACTCAACAGTTGTGTTCTCTGCTGTCCAGCTTTTACATAGGATCTGCTCTCCCAGCTTTTGAAATTAACCATGAGGGCTAGAAATGCTCCAAGGATGCTCCCAGTTGCCTGGACTGGGTCTGGGAGTTGCAAAGAAAGGAATAAAAAAATATATATGTATGTGAAGTGTTAATAAATGGGAAGAAGTAGCTACTTATAAAACAGGATTGTTTGCATGAAATTCCTGGTGTTTTCCTCTCTGAAGGCAAACGGGAAACTGGACAAGCATCACTTGTGTGCATGCATGTGCATGTATGCGTACCACTGTGGTACAGGCAGCAGCTGAGGGGCTGACACAAAGCAGGAGAAGAACCTATTAAGGCAGAGCTTATGAGCAAAGTGAAAATGGCTCATGCAAATCTTTTTGGGGGCTGTTGGCCCCCGTGGCGCAGAGGCCAGCCCAGTCCGGAGCCCAGTGGCGTTGGGCAGGGACATGGGCTGGGCCCCCCTGCCATGGCCAGGGCTGGAAACTGCACGGAAACCTGGCAATGGGCACTGGGCTGGGGGAGAGGCGGCAGGGATTTACAAAAAAAAAATCACCTTTGCGTTTTGCCACATGACGGGAAACTACGACCACAAAGACACATTTCAGAAAGCCTGGATTCTTGATAACCTATAGACTCGATAATCAAAGCATTCATCTGAGATGAGCATTCATGTTTTCTTGGGCAAATGAAGGAACTGAAGGTGGATTTTGAGCAGTCTGGTAAAATCTGTGTCCCGTGAGCCCCTGCCCTGCTGAGCTGCGAAGAGGAGATGGGGTGGCTGCTTGTCCCTGCAGCCACTCCGGGAAGGTCTCCGGGGCATTGGAGTGGGGCACGGGCCAGGCGGTGCTCGCGCTGGCCAGCCCGGCCAGGTCGGCACATGAATCCTCTTCGCTCAGCATTTCATGGCTCAGGCAGCTGCAGGCACACCCAGAAGCAAATTTTAGGAAATTTGAGAACTCAGGTGTTGGATAATATCATGTGTCTCTAGGGTTGATGGCATGTGAGCTGGTAGGGGCATTAAGGGTGTCTGGTTTGCTTTTACAAAACATCTGGAGTCTTTAGGTGGGATGGGAAGACACGGTCCCGAGTTAGGACATGGCTCCCTGTGCGATGCACGAAGAAGGGCCAGCCCCAAATATTCTAAGGCCAAAGAGCACTGTGAATAAGGCAGTGACCTTGTTTGTGGAGCAAAGCGCTGAAGTTCAGACCTAGAAACATTTGCCAGCAAGTGACTCAGACTCACGGGTGCCTGTGGCATAGCATTCGCCCTCGGGACAAGAGATGTGAAATGCTCTGATCAGGCTCTTGGGATCTGTGCTAAAGCAGCAAGGGCTCTGTGTCACATCCCTGTGCCAGGGACTGGGCATCGGGACCTGCCTCCTGATGCTCCATGGCCAAATGGAGAAAGGTGCTTCTCCTCTCTTGACTCAGTGGACGACCTCCGGCAGTCCCTCCGGCCAGGCAGTCTGGGCCCTGCCCTGCCAGTGCTGCTGCCAGCACTGGGCCAGAGCAGCAGTCGGTGGCAATCGGTGCGGTTACACTGAAGACGTCGCCTGTGATTGCAATAAGGGCACATAAAAACCACGCACACAGGAGTCAGGGCTGTGTTCCCCACGCACAAAGCAGCACGAATAGAACCAGTCATGTAAGCGGATAACAGGTTTTACTAGCAAAAAACACACAATGGTTCAATTTTTTTTTTTTTTTGGTAATATGGACTAAGAAATGGTTTGGAGAAAAAAAAAGGTGTGATGGAGGGTGGTGTATGGACCACTATCACCCACAAACGTAGCACCGGCATCTAAAGAGCTCATTCTCTGCAGATTTCACCATCAGGGAGGTAACCATGGAAAGTACAAAATAATTAAGTACTATTGAAGGTTGCCCAGTAACTGAGAGTGCAATAGTCTAACGCTTTTTCTGTGAGCTTGTACTTGGGTAAATATTTAGGCTTTTAAAGCTTTAAATGACAGTGGACATTGCATTGGGACACTCTGTGCAAGCCCTGGACTATGTTTACTCACAGATGGTCTATTACTGATAGGGTCCTCTAAAGACTTTTCAGTCCGTGCAGTCTTTCTGCAGATTGTAGTGGTCTTCAAGTTCAGCGGTGAGTCAGTCTCTCCTAGGACTGCTTGCCAAAGATCGGCACACACATGGCTTCCAAAAACCCCTGGGCAACCACAGGTCTTGGTCAACAGGTACGAGACAGCAGTATCTCAAGCTGGCCTGGATTGCCCTGTTTCATTAAATCCAGATGCTTTTGGTTATTCTTTGGTTTTCTTTTGTAAGGCCCAGATCAGCTTTTGACTGGAACCAGGCTGGTAAGGCTTCAAACCTGGAGGAAAAAAAAAAAAAAAAGAGAAAAAAAAAAAAGAAAAAAAAAAGAAAGAAAGAAAAGAAAGGAAATATTGCCTAGCAATGAGAAACACCCAAAGGCAGAGGTAAGAGCACTTACTGTGAATAAGTGGGTATTAGTGCCTTCTGTTGACAGAGGCAGCACTAAGTGGGCACCCTGGCTGACTGCAGCAGCCTCTGATTGCCCAGCAAGCAGCAATCTAAAATAAATATTTCCATCGCCAAGGCAAAAAGATTGCCCACTTCCCTCTCTCGCCCCAGCTCCATCCCTGAGCACCACCGCCTCTGTCAGCCGGCAGCCGCTCCGCAGCGTGCCCGGGGCTGCCTGGAAGCACCGCGCAGACACTGCCGCAAGAGACGCGCCGAGTACGCTGTGGTGCTGTCTCTCACCATCAGTGCTACCAGTTGTTTTTAGCAGTAGTACCACAAGTGTGCATTGGGATAAAGGGTCCGATTTTTGTCCCCAGGAGATTTAACAGGAGTTGTGTTGTGGATAATAGTAACAAGAAATGTAGACTGGCAACAGACATACAGGAGGAAGGACAAGGGGGTGGACACCACAACTCCCATTCACTCACAGAGACCACGGGGCTCCTCTGCGGCACAGGGCTGTTGGTTTCCATCTGTCTGTCTGCCAAGCTGCAAAATGATTCAGTACTCACCTCCCTTAGGGGGTGGTCCCTGACCTCCTTGAGCTTTGAATCAAAAAGCAAAAGAAATTTGCAAGACGTTGTGTGATCCTTTACTGAAAGTAAAATAACAAGAGTATATAACAAAGTGATGTATTTCTGGGTGGTGGAAATCTTACAATACCTTTTATTTATCTTAGTCTGAAAATACAGCAGGTGGGAACAAACGAACAACTGACATGAAATATAACCCCAGCTTCACTTTTGATTACTGGAAGGAAACTCAGTTTCATCACACAAATGGTCTGGTGTCCTGGAGTACAAACGTTTTCACTGGTTTTATAAATACACTCGGCAAATGTGGCAATAATCATTGTGCTGTTGTAAGAGCAGGGCAATAGCATTGCTGAAGCCTTATGAGCCATGTTGAAGATTGTGAACAGATGTTACAAGATGTGCTAAAAGATATATTTTTCTTATATGAAGGGTGAGGGTGGCCTTCTGCCTTAAAATTTTGTATTTGGAGAGAGAGAAATTATCCAGATCTCAGACAACTTTTGTTTTTCCACACAAAGGAGTAGGGAATTGCAGACCAAAGAGAGATTTTCATATGCAATACTGTTTGCTTAAATTAGCATCATTTCTTAAATCCACATTTTTTCCCGAGGCTAGACACTGCTTCTGCAGCTTGTCCGGTTGCTTTTTCTACCCCATCTTGCACCGCCTTGGAAGTCTTGTCAATAGCTGCAAGAGAGGGAAAATAATAAGCAAAAAGCTGGAAATATGCAACGTGGTTTAATATTTATGATGAAAGGAGGAGGTGTGAAAATGATTAGACTATAAAAATATAGGGATATATCTTTAAAAAAGAAAGGTTCTCCACAGCTGGTTATAGTTGGGTTTGGCAGGATATATTTAGGATGGGCTGTAAGACGTTGCTAAACAGGAGCGGTCACTCAGGAGTTTTGGGCGCTGAGCTGAAGCAGTGTGAGATGAACGACGGGACAAAGCTGGAACAGATCCATTTTGGTGTACGTGTGGCCTGGCTGATGGAGGAGGGTGCTTTGGGCTAAGAAGTGCTGTGAATACTGGGGTGTTTGGGAAAGACAATCTTATCAAGTGATGGGGAAGGTGAAGGATGCTTTCCCCTCTACTCCCTTCTCCTCAGTTAATGTATTTGAGGCACTGCCGGTGAAAGCTGTGCTCAGCCATGGGCCGCGGGCATAGGGTCACTCCTATGCAGGACCCGACAAGTGAGAACTGAGCTTAGTTTTTAGTTTGACTCCTCAGAAACAAGACGCCGATGCTTTCCTGACGGCACCTTTCCAGCTGTGGGATCATTAATGTTTGACCCCAGCTGCTGCCTCAGCAGGCGCGGGGGGCTGATGGGGGGCTGGACCTGGACAGACCCTTACTCTCCGGGCTGGGGAAGCAAGGTGTATCACAGGGTTACTCAATCCTCAAGAAAGAAGAGGAAAGTTTTTTCCGCACTGTTCTCACAAGTTTTTCTATAATGGAAGCCAAGATCTGAATGCCGTGCATGAGACTCAGTGGCTAAGGGGGTGTCAGCTATCATGGTACATCTGCCAGTAAACGTATGGAGCTACTAAGCAACAGATCCTAAAATCCTTTCCCATGAGATCTGTAAATGGCCAAAAATTGTCACAAGCAAGGACTTTCAGGCTGAGAACATCCACGGGACAGAGCGGGAATGAGCACTGCCCGCTGCTGGCTTGTGTTGAGCTGCTCCATCACTTCGTGATTTGCCCATCATTTCGCCTACCTTTCTGGCTTGCATCTGTAATTTGGTTGACTGCATCCTGAGTAGCCTGTCCCAATGTGTTTGCTGTAATTAAGGACAAAAAAAATTTCATTTCCCGCTGTTCACATTTATGCTTAGAGGAATTCCCTATGTCAATCAACTTTTCTGCATGTCCACAGAAGGTTATGCCCCTGGCAAGAGATAAGGCTGGTACAGAGCAGGCTGAGGCTGTGTGCTTTGCTCATGGGCACCCTGGGAACCATGCGTGTTGCCAGAGCAGCTTGCTATGAGATTAGTGTTCACCTAGCACCTACGGTCAGCTGAGCAAATCGATGACAGATAAGAAGATAAAATAAGAAGGAGATAAAGAAGTGAAGATTAGCAGTGAGTTGGAATGATGACATTTAGCTGCAAGTTGCTTACTTTACACTACATCTGCTTTTATTGATTTTTCTAGCTTATTCTGCTCAGAGAAGCTTGGCCATCTAGCGCGCGTTTTCTTTGTGGGCTGTTTGGGAGTAGTACCTTTTCCAAAATGCAAGCAAACACATTAAACAGAGCAGGATAGGAAAAGGGAGATTTTACAAATAAGAGATAAATAGAGGAAGAAGAGGAGCAGAAGCTAGAAACGTACAGACCAACTCCAGAATATAAAGCATTAAAAAAGTGAGATGCCATGTAATTGTAAGATGCCTGATAGTTTGTGAAAGAGCGATAGCCATCCTGTCACTTTTGCTAGAAGAAGTGACCCCTCGATGGCATGACTATATTCAGGATGTAGCAAGGACTATTTTGTTTTTCAGAAAGGTGTACTGTCATGTTTCTGGGTCTACTATACATTTGTTCCCAGGTGTATGGAAACTTACTGTAATTCCAAAGACGTCAGTGAGGTTACTCTCATATTTCAGCTGTGCAACAGAGGGTTGGCAGGATCAGAATCCAGGGCTGATACAAATTATACCCTGCTAGGAATGAGCTGCACGCAAACGTGGTAAGGAATATACTATAAAATACTAGCATAAGCTATACACGTATTGAAATTTTTCCATTTAAAGGAAAAGCTATCATACTTTGCATTGAAAAGTTGGTTTCTGATGCACAGTGCTAATAATATCGAGCTTGGCCCTACAACATAGGCATAGCTATGACAGAAATGTGTGCACAGATTTTGTTTTACACCCTGCAAAGTCTGGTGATCACTGCTGGAGGAGACTACAACAGAAACATACTTGTACTACTTACTACAAGCAGTCCATTGCAATCAATATAGTTACTACCAGAAGGCATTGAGAGCCAGGCCAAGTAGCAAACATTAATCAAAGCTTAACTCCAACTTCTTAAAAGGAGAGCAGTTTAAAAACCTCTGCAGAGCATGAGAAAAGACAACCCTGAGCAACGTAAATGCTAGATACAAAAGGTTATTACTACCAAATCAGTCTTCACTTCTCTAAAAACACTAGAGTTTAAAGATCTGTTTGGGGAGTGACAAGGCTTGGACGATGCTCAGCAGCCACTGAGGGAGCTGTGGGTGGGTGGAGGTGGTTGCCCATGCTGAGCCAAGAGCAGTGGCCAGCCTGGGGCCTTCTCCAGGAGATGGCCAAACCTTGGCCCCAGGAACTGAAAGAAAAGGAAAAGCTATGTCCTGCTACCACCAGTGAAGTGAGTAGTGTAACTACAGATGGTGGTTTCTGTAAGCGAAAGCAGCAGCTAAGCCCCCCACAACTATACAACAATATTTAATCTTTCTTACCAGCATCTTTTGCTGCACCTTCAGCCTGTTCCTTCAGTCCCTGGAAGTTTTTACCTGACATCGTGGCTTCTGACACCTGTTAACACTCTTCTGCTTCAATAAAATTAAGTGCCTAGCGATGTATAGCACACCATGTGAGGGGTGTCCTGACACGTCCTGGTTTTATACCTGTGCCAGGAGACCTGCTGATGCTTTTGGGGGTGATTGGTGCAATGGGTGGAGTTTGAATGTGAGGCATGAGAGCTGAAAATACGCACAGAAAAGCCGTTTATTTACCCTCCCCAATGAGAGGGTGTGCCCAGGTAGAGATTTCTGCTTCATCACACTGTCTTTGTTTGTAAGTTTGGTTGGGTTTTTTTTTAATCAAAACCACAAAAAAAACTGTTCCACCATCACAGACAGAGAAAAACCACTGAACTGAGCTTTGTAAAGACTGCTGGAAAACTACTGAAGGAGCAGTGCCTGGGCATGGCCAACTTTTGTCCCCGCCGGGCTGGCTTCTTCCTCCTTCCTTCATCCCCTAAGCTGAACCTCCTGAGAACGGAAACCAGCCCAAACTTCACTCAGTTTTTAGCAGTTTTAATCACAATCCCCTTTTCTTGTCAGGTGGGATACTGTTAGATGTGGAGAGTTCCTATTTACATGTATTTTTATACGAAACTGTAAATATGGTCATCTTTCCAGTTGTTTGCTCAAGTCGGATTGCAAAAACCCAGCATCACTGAAGGCCTTGCCTGGGTCAGGTAGGTAACCAGTGCCAGAGCTAGCAGTTCTTAGGGGAAGGGAAAAAAAAGAAGCCAAGCTAGCAAAACCACCTTTTCTTAGTGTGGCTTTGTATTATGGGTTTTGTTCGTACAGAAATAATGTTTCAAATAATTTCCTTCCATAGCATCACTACATTAATAAAAGTTTCTGGCTTTAACCTCTGGCATTTCACATGTTTCCACTAGCCTTTAGAATTTATGTTTTCTGCCACCATTCCCCAGTACAAAGAAACTTTGTACAAATAAACTGTTGGCAGAGTTGGGGGCCAAAGGGCTCGCCGGCTTTGTGGGGCTCGAATTCCTCATCGCCATTTTCCAGCGTACAAAGCACCTCAGTTCAGATGTTCACACTCATACCCATATTCATCTTCCCAAGGAAAGCTTTTTTTGTTGAGAAATGGGCATGAGAACAAGATGCCGTGAATAAACTAGGGTGGGAAGTGACAGTGCTCGTAAGTTTAGTACTTCATTAGTACCCAAGTGAGGAAGAGCAGCAGAAAACAAGGCTAAATGCATTCCTCTGCGGCTCCTATTCAGCCTGTCATTTCAGAGAGCTCTTTTCAACTTTTGCACCGCTGGCACCGCTTATTTCTTATTTGAAACAGCAGTTCTCTTTCCCCCTTGACAGGTCATTTAACATTTTAATTATACATTCACATCAGGTATCTTTTTCAATTCCTTGCTGGTTTATTTTTCAGAATGATTTTCTCATTTGGATTTGCAAAAAGTCAGATAAAAGACACCCAATATTCTGAGGCTCTGGCATTTTTGGGACAAAACCACTAACATAGACCTACTTATCTTTCTTGCCCAAACCTGAGAACCTAGCAACCACAAAGCCGTAACAGACAGATTTCAGCCGCTCTCAGCTCCCTTAGCCAGATCGCTGCTGCCTTGCTTAACTTTGGGCAGAGTGCTCATGAGAGCAAGGAAGAGGCTCTCCAGCACCCACCAGGCAGCTTGGCACGGCCTGAGAGAGGACATGTCGAGGCTCCAGCAGCAAATACCTTCCAGCTGCCCTCCTAGCTCTTTTCTACCGCTGGACTTTCAGCTCAAGGGCCCTGCTGGCGCTGGCTGGGGTATTTGGCCTGAAAGGGAGACCAGGAGTTTGGGACAACATTTAAAACTGATGCACACTTACACTGAGCATTAAACATGCACACAGCAATATTTTAGAGGCTCCTTAGCAGTTCAGGTAAATATTGTTCTCTAATTCGGCGCTGACAGCCACCTAGATTACTCCAGCTCCAACTATTTTTCTTCCAAGTGGAAATCTTTGTTTGGCACTTTGAACTCAGTATGGGTGTCTGATCTGTGCCACTGCTTGCTTTACCTCCTGCTTAAAACATTAAGTAGCACGAATTTGTGAGTAAAACCTACACCACTGTCAGCATAGCAGCATGACTCCTCATCTAATGTAATCTTATCCTTATCATTAAGATCATTATCCCGATTCCAAGAAAAAAAAGGCGAAGAAAGCAAATTACACTTGCCTGGCAAAGTGACATGGTGTGATCATTATAATGCAGCCCATAGCAGGAGGAAAAGGGACCTTTGGTAGAGTATGTATTTATCCCATATGACGGGACAAATGGTCTGTGCATCAGGTGGCTCGCAGAGTTACAAAACCACATCAGAAAATTAATGGAATGTATTGCATCATCTTTATTCACTTTGTGAGTTGACATTACTTTTTTAAAGCTAACATGAAGCATTTTGAACTGATGTTAGATACAGATTAGAGCATTCAGATATAAAAGGATGATTGACCTGAGCAAAAACGAGGATTTGAATTCCATCTGCTCCAAAATTTACAGCAATTTATCCCTGAGTTTTCATTTGTTCTGTTATGAATATTGAAACTACTAATGTAGATTGGATCTATTCCTGGATTTTGTAAAAAACTATTTCTCAAAAGAATTTAACCTTCTCTTGGCCTCTAGGGAGAATAATATCACAAGAGAAGCTGTTGAAAGCTTTTCCTGAAACAGACCATTTAAGTAAAAGTGAAATGGTAATTTATTTCTAATTACAGATCAATGAGCTAAGCAAACTAACCATGTGGCTTGAAATTCATTCCTGTCCTGGTCTAAGCTATAGGTCATCTGACTTACATTTCACTCTGTATAGGTCCTGACACTAGGTATTCATGATGGGTCTCCAAAGGTCTCTTACAAGTATGATGGGAAGTGTTTGAGCTCATGATGAGCTGGATGTCCCACCTGGGCACCAGCCTTTCCTGTGACTTCAGTGGGAGTTCAACGCATTCGTGGCTGCCCTGGGAAATGAGCGGCTATGTTTTCAAGAAAGTCAGCTTTCAAATGTGTGGTCTTCTGAAATGCTGCCTCCACTATCCTGAACATCTGGGTGAAAAAATGAGCTGCTTCAAGAACTGTTCCTCCTCATGAATCCCAGTCTTTGCTTTGACTCCTTTGTATGCTTTTTGATAGTCTCCACTGTCAGAGAAGATCTAACCATCACTCGATGAACCTAGCTGGCAAGTATTATGGGATTGTTCATTTCACCATCGTCAGTTCTCAACCATGTTGTCTCACGACAAGAAAAGATAGGGGTGGGGTGGAAGATTATAAAGTATTTTGAAAGTTAAATGCCAAAACACTACAGCCTGTGTGCTTTTTGTCTCCTGACGTCTCCACAGTATTGACTCAAAGCTCCAGCCTCTAAGTACAGCTACAGTTTCTGCTCCTGTTACCTCTTTCTGAATGGGTTTCCAGGTCTTTGCATCATTTGGTGAGTCCTAAGGTCAAATCAAACTGCCTACAGGTGGAAGGTTAGTTTGGACTTTCGCTGTTGTCTGTGATGAGTGGTTATTTGTGTTCAGGGGGAAAAAAAACCCAAACTGATTCCTTAAGTGCTAGGAGGGCTCCACGACACACGGCCCTGGAGTTAGTTGGCAACTCCAAACATGCAGCCCAAATAGCTGTGAGTTAAATCTGAGGCCCTGCAGGAAAATTAGAATTTGTTCTGATTTCCTTTCCTTTCACTCCTCTTCTACAGCGTCTTTGAGCACCCTCTCACATAGCAGTAACACGAACCCTTCTGTTTTTATTACCCGACGAAGGTGAGAAGTAATTGATCAGAGCTAGAGCTCATGTTTTACACATGAAAATGGGCAAACAATGTTAATATATTTCTGGGCGAAAAGTACGTCTGACTGATTCTTCATTTGCATGGGTGGCAACATTCTCCAGAAATCATCAGCCAGCTCTGCTTCAAAGCATGAGATCAAAATAAGGCCAATATATATGGATTTCTTTACCTTCTGGTTTCTGAATCTTCAGGCAACGTCTAAGTGAAGCGTCCAGTTTCTGCTGTCTTCTGGAGAACCGAAGACTAAAACCGTGCTTGAACAATGGTATTTTTCTGGAGTCTCATGATATCCCGCAGCCTGAGTATTTTTTCTTTAGGAAAGAAAAAAATTGTCTGGTCTTTAAGTTATAAGGGGGTAAAAAGATGAGAAAGGCTTGACCACCACCTTAAGATCTGGCACAGGGCTAGGGAAAGAAATAACCGATCCTATCCCAGGAGTGGCTAGGAAAGCTGAGGATGTGAGCTGGGATGTAAGCCAAGGGTAAGGCCTACAGGAGAGCTTTGTGTATTTTTCTAGGCACACTGAGAGGAAGAAGCACCGTGGCTCTACCCTTCTGGCACACGGCCGTGCTGCCCACCCCACCTGGGGCTCAGGGGAGAGGAAAGGTGGAGAAGCAGAGCTACCGAGCTTGCTTCCCTCCCATGCTGGAATCCACTCAAAAAAGCAGTGCCAAAGCTTGACAGAGAGACTTTGTGCTGCTAACAGACCTGTGCGAAGTCGTGCAGGCAGGGTTTTATCTGACATTCAGAAAGCTGAGTTTTAATCTGAGTTTTTTTTGGTACGCTATTAACAGTACGGAGTATCTTGTGATTTGGTAGGGTTGCAAGGCATTTATGAAACAGTAAAAATAAGCTACGCTTCAATATGGAAAAAAGTCTCAGCAGTACAAGACTACCCTGTTCCTGCTCGCTGATGCAGGATGCTCACACGGGAGGAAACCACATGTCCTGATCTCTGTCTTTAAGGCTTGTGATTGCCTTGTGCAAGATGCACAAGCACTCCTCCGAGCTCTGACTGCAACGGGCCTTAGACCAGACCTAGGCAGGGGCTATGGCAGGGAAGTGTTGAACCCCCGTCCAGCCCGGGCACAAAACAGTGCTCAGCGACATGAGAAGCAGGCAAGCGCAGAGGCAGATCTTTAGGAAACATTCAGACAATTTCAGTGCCCGTATGTTAGGCAATAGT